AGCAGATCAAGGTCAATCAGAAGGGCCCCGGAACCGTGGGGAGGGCCCCGGGCCTGTCAGGCCAGGTTAAAAGCAAAGGGAGGGTTCAAGCAAGCCCCCCAACGGAGCCCCTCGGTGCTGGACTGGCAAGGCAGGAAGTGCTGAAGGCGAAGTAAGAGATTAAAACATCCATTTCCTTCCAGGCCATCCCCCCAGCCAGACCCCGCAGTTTTGTCAGAGGACAGTCATAGGCAGGGGCCAGGCGGGGGGTAGTGGGCAGGACGGCAGGATCATCAGCAGACGTTGCTCATTCCCCCTCTGGAAATGGCTGAGGGGCTGTTGCTTGGGCTGAGGGGGGCAATTCTCGCCCTTGAACTCTGCAGCGCCTAACAAAGTCCTTCTGTTTACCGGCATTGAAACTTCCCCCGTTGAGACTTAGTGGGTGACCCCACTTCTGGCCTTGTGAGAGACGGAGGGAAACATCCCTGGAACATGCATGATGTTCTTCCACATCAACATGTCTCTCTTTAGCCTCCATCCAAGCAGTAGCTTTAGTGCATGGCAAAAGTATTCTCCCTTCCCGCTTTTAAAACTTGGGTTTCTGGTTTTGGGGAGGATTTTTTTCCACCTTTCCCAACTGTAAAATTTCCATATCTATATCCCCGTGAGTGAGTTGGGCAGCCATATAAATTACTTTAATTAATTAATTAAATATGTATATCTATATACATATCTAACTACATCTCTATATCGATCTCTATCTGTGTCTCTATCTCCATATCGGAAACTGAAAGAGATATACAGCACATTCCCACCTGGCCTTCACTTTAGGAAAGACGGCTTGGGGGCTGTCTCCAGAAAGTGCTCCATGTGGTCTTGGGAAGCGGTGAAGGAAGGGAGACCAGAACATACCCCAGGCCCTGATGGAGCACCTCCTCCCCCGGCCCATTTCGTCCAGCAGCCTGTTCTCCCAGGGGCCCACCAACTGCCAATGAAGCCCACTGGTCTCCCAGAAGATGGCACTCCCACCGCCATCCAGGCTGAGAGTCATGGATCTCCAAGGCTTGCAGCAATTGATCCAAGATAATCAGCTGTTGCTTATGGCTTACACCCTTAAGCGGAAAAAAAGAAAATCAGGAAACCAAGTTATTTGAGATTAACATAAATGTATGCCAAAGTCCAGTGACAGAGCTCACTTCTGAGGGAATGCAAACACAGTCTTAGCAGTTCCGTATCAAAATTCATCGCAATATAGAGCTGCCAAAAACAGGGGTGGGGGTGGGGGTGGGGGCTCCTACATAAGTAAAGGGTTCTTTATTATTTATTGTGTTCATTTATGAACCTTTTTAAACTGCCCAGTAGCTGAAGCTCTTGGGATGGTTTACAGGAAAACACACTAAAAAGGTACAAGGTGAATAAAAGCAAATGAAATGCACCACCTATGTACTATTAAAACTCTTCTGTCTATAACATTCAGCTGGGCAAAACGGTGTGTTGTAAGGCAACAGTTTTTGAATTAATGTACCTGAAATGGGTTAACTTACAGAATGCATCCAAAATCCAGGACCCACGACTCCCGTGGGATTGAAATTTGGCAAAGTTGTGACCATTTCAGCACCACCGCGCCTTCCAACTACACTTCCCAGAAACCCATGGGTTGCATGGTTCAGGGGAAGATGGGATGGGCATATCCCTGCCCGCTTTCCCGCTTGCCTCTGGCCCCTGCACCCAATTGGCTGGCGGGAAGGCCCAAAATGGGCGAAGGGCGATTGGCTGCTTTGAAACCGAGGCCAAAATTTGGCATCCCTTAACGGCAGTGGACGCTGGGGGAAGGATGAGGGAGCGAGTCGGATGCCTGCTGGGGAGGCACAGCTGGCTGCAGGGCACCGATGGTTGACGGGTGAGCCCTCTTCCTCCCTCAGGGACATGGCAGGATGGGGAGTGGGGGTGCAGTTTTCCTCACAGTTTGCTGCACCCTTGCTCCCCCCCCCCTCAGCAAAATGGTGGGCAGTTCCACAAGTCAGCCAAGGAGCAGGAGGAGTGATTTCCGATGCTCCCCGCCAGTTTCCCACAAGGAAAGTCAATGGGGAAGCCAGCAGGAAGTTGCTCTCGCTCCCCCCGCTTTTTGTCCTGGGTCATTCTGTCCCTCTGCTTCAGTAAGGAAATATCTCTGAAAGGATGAGCCTTTCATGACTGGTCTAGTATGAACTAGGCAGCTGCAAGGCGGTCATTCAGAAATGGCCAGGAGTCCTAGAGCATTGATCCCGGAGTCCAGAAAGTTTGCATTCAGGAAATGCAAGTAATTCTGTTCTCCAAAGGGGCACCACCTGTTCTTCTCTCTAAAGAAGAGCGGTGACCACTTTCTAGAGAAAACCTAATATAAAAGTGTCTCTTTTTGATTCAGTTGTTGGAGGACAGAACCTGGAGATAACCCAACGTCCGGAATCCCTGTCAGTGACAGCTAGAGACACCCTCAATCTGACATGTACCCTGACTGGGGAGAATCCACCAGGAGCAGTGCGGTGGTACAAAGGCCTGAACAGAAGCCAACCTCCCGTTTTCAGTGATAAAGAAGGAGCTCCGAACCGGGGGGTGAGGGTCTTCCCAGGTTCAAGCACAGACTTCAGCATCTCCATCCAAAACATCCTCCCTGAAGATGCTGGGACCTACTACTGCGTGAAGTTCAGGGCAGGCAACCCAGAGAGACAGCTGGCTTCGGGGAAAGGCACTGTGGTCTCTGTGATCGGTACGTTGCACCCCAACTTGATTTCCAGGGATGTTTGGGGCAAATTCCCTACACGAAGCTGAGTCTCTTTGACCAAAAGCAGTTTTGGAGACTCT